ACAATGCCTATTTCTTTTGTATTATTCATTATATCTGCAAAAAAAAAATAATAATGTATAACATCTGAAAACATTAAATGTATAAATTGTACTCAATATTATTAGTTGTTTACCATCGTTTTGTACAATTGCTTCATGAGGATTTATAAGAATATCATCCATACGAGATGCATTATAAAAGTTCACAGCATTTCCATAACAGAAACAGGGTTTGGTCATATCTAGACCCAAAATTTTATGTAAAGCTTCACGGTATGCTACTACAGTTAAAAAATTAAATTAGATTTATAAAATAATTTGAATGTACTATAAACAACTAATAGAAGAAAATTTACTTGTTTCTGTATCAGTGGTATCTTTTGAATAGACTACTGTAAACAAATGTCCTAAACCTTGGGGTTTAAAATGTATGGGTATAGGTAATTTTACAGATTGATCAGACTGCTTAAGCTGATCGTTAAAACACTTCTGTATTAATTTAATATTTCGGCACATGGATTCTAACAATATACCATGCAAGTCTGCTGAACTTACATTAACATTGACCAAAGACAATGTATCAATAGGCAGGTTACATTCAAAACTATCAAATTGTCCTAGATTATGAATAGAATATTCATTATCAAAATATCTTTAAAAATATTAGAATTATATTCAGAACTCTCCATATGATGAATACACACGTTTTACATATTGGAGTACTGGAGCATATTTAATATGTTCTTCAGAAAACCGGTCCCCAGATAATTTTAAAAGTATATTACCATCCACAGCATCCTATTAAATTTAATAAAATAAATATCCTCTTTAGACATAAAATAAAAAGAATACTATCTTTGATGAAGACAAGAACACGAAGAAAAATATACCACAACTCTAGTTGATCGCAAAGTGCTTTTTCCTATATTTGTAGTTCCCTCGTAATATTCTGGCACATCTATGAGTTCTCTTAAAGATGCATCCTTTAAGTTATTTTCATTATTAAAAAGGAAAGTATTTTTTGATGGAAAATGAATGCCTATCTTTCCTGATGCAATCTGTTAAAAAGATTATTTACCTTTATATCAACTTCAATGTCTCATAACATTCTTAATGAAATAATTATAACTTACATTTTTTCTCAGTTCATCTAATATTTCCATCACATTACCACTCTGAGCAATTAATGGCAAGCTTCCTCTCAATCTAATATATATAAATTCTCTTTGAATATCATTTTCATGAATAATATTTACATTATTAATAGCTTCTAGTTTTTGATGTATATAAAAATAAGCTTCTATTCTTGCATTTTCATGTGAATATTTCAAAAGTAATGGATTATCGGTGATATCAATGTCCTAAATAATGAAACAAATGTAATGTAAAGTAATTAATCAATGTGATCAATTATTATTGGATTTAAAATTTTTAATTTATAGAATCTTATACAATGTATTAATCTTACTTGAAATGTATCTGGAAGCTTTTCTTCCCATTCATCTATATGTACAATACCACAGAGATATATCTCTGCTGGCATATGTAATTGTAACGTTGTATGATTTATGTCAGATTCAATGTTGTTTTCTACATTTATACTAAATGTTAATACAGTTAATGTATTATTATACATGACACCATATAAGTGACCTGTCACGCTTGTTTTTACATTCTTTAAACGCTAAAAGTTAAATACGTTTACATTCATTCTAATGTGTAACATGTAATTTCATTTATACCTAGTATTATAAGTATGCAATATTTACCTCCAAAACATTTGATAAAATTCGCAAATGGGGTGCCATTATTATAATGTATTTGCAAATTGGTTTTCTTTATATAAATTTATTCTGCATCAAATGTGTGTATGCAATTGCCATATGGCAATGTTTAGTTCAAAAAGTGCATTACACAAACTCATCAGAGAAAAAACTGCGCAAAATACAATTGAATGTACATTCGATCACGCGTGCACAATTGTCATGTATATTTAAATGACAATTCACACGGGTATATGAAGCACATTTCAAAAATAATGACAGGATACTATGCGCACTTAGTTGAATATTACAAGAAACTGAACGACGTCATTGCGAATGTTGGCTAGCCCATTTTCGAACACATTCGTCTACAATCCCAATTTACTAAATCCCCAGTGTAACTTCTTAATGTTGGCATCGCGAAAGTCACTAGTACATTGTAGTGGATTAACTTCAGCGCCAGTCTCTCGTAGATCAAGACGTTCTTCGCTCGAGGTCGTATGTAGCAAAATGGCCGTTCGACCAAAGTGAGTGTGACGTTTCGCGAGGTGATTGTATCGTTGTTTCATGTGGTTTCTATGAATAATCGTTCATGTGACATAGTGTTATTGTGCTTCCTGTGTATATCCGCAGGTCCGGCAGGAAAAATCACGTATACGATAAGGTGAGCACCGTATTTTCGACGTATACTCGCGCGCAGGATGAAACTGTTGCGGTACTGTTACCCGTTCAAACGTTACCAGTTCCATAGCTTTGAGACGTTTCCACGTCAAATATTCCTGAAAATGACAGAACTCCAACCGTACTGTTATACGAAGCGAATCGTTGCTCTCATTCCGCGAGCAGTCGAATGAGATCGAAGATTACATTTCAAGTTGTTACTCTCTCTGGCGAGTCAAAAGTGGGCGTTATTTAAATGACACACGCAGCTACATACTAAATACATCGAATGACAGAGAAATAATACGGTTGACTGTCTTTTCGATTATCTCGTGTCAACGTGCAGTGACATTATCGCATCGTGTTTTTTGGCAGGATCGGTTTCGCAAAAAATATCTCTCACATGTATGCGCGAGGCACGACTTCGAGTCCGACACACGAGGAATTTCCTGCTGCTTTTAAGACATTTTTTCAATTATTCGAGGCAACTGCGTGTTTACATAAAAAGCTCGCTCATTTGGTTCCTTCACATTATTTATTTTCATGGCACATTTGGGTCCGAGATTTTTTTTCGATGCGGTGTTACGCAATGTATACAGATCTTTATCGATAATCATCGCGATACAAGCGAAAGTATTCGTTACATTGAGCTTCGTACATATCTCAATCAGACACGCGATGTAATTGCAGTTATGTAACCGTGTCTTATTAACGAGGTAACGACGTATCCGCTAAATTTTACGGGTTGAATGCAAATGTGCGCCTGCTCCGGCGTCTTTAAGGCGATATTTCATAAAAATTGCGCAGTTCGTGATTTCAAGCGCAGCGAGACGGAAACTGGTATCGCAGGCTGCAAAATTGTTGCATTGTGGCCCAAAGATTAAAGAGAAAGAAAGAAAAGGAGTGATTCGTGTCACGGCGTTCGTTAATCGAATCACGCGAACGTTTTCAAGCCAATTTCATCGGCACGCCCGTTCGTGGTGATAATGGAAGCGCGTCGACACGCACACGTGCCCTTTGCATTCCAATTTTCCCGCCACTGTTTTTGCTGTCTTTCTGGTCGCCATTTTCGTTCGGCCCCTATACACTGTAATTCCCTTGCGTTTAATCCCCACCATTTTTGGAAATGTTCGAATCCTGTTCGTGGGCTGATCGCGTAAATTACCTCAATGCTGCCTCAAAGCACGCGATAACTGCGAATGCAACACTACGCGTGTACTTTCAAAAGTATTCGCCCACTGATTAGTATTAACCCCGTGAATGAAAGTAACGTGTTTTAAACGTCACCCTTGAAGTTTATGAAACGAGTTTTTTTACTTCTTACATGAAAGTAATCATTAGAAAAATAATAAAACATGAAATATTACTGAAGCTCAATACGATGGTATTGTATATTTGAATTTAGTAAATCTACTTACAGAAAAGATAAAGTTTTTATTCATTTTAATGTTCGTAAACTTTATCTGTTTGCACAAATTTGCATAATTATCTAAAATTTAAAGAAATTTGAAGATTAACTATTATACTTTTTTTCGCTACTTCATCCCTTCGGTGAAGGGGATGGTGTGGCCTGCGTCAACTCCTAGAAGACATGTTCGCCTTAAAAGGCCACAGGTATTTCTGCGTGACGAATTAGGGTCAGGTAGGATTACCTTAAGGCTTCTCTCTCTGGAAGCGTATTAGATTTTCAATATTTATGTTTACCCACAATAAATTTGTTTTAATTTTAATTAACTGTTTGGCAATTGTAATTTCTTGGTAGGACTACAAGTTTATTATAAAGTCTTTAGCTGTTAAATGAAGTTAGATTTAAAAAGCCTAGTAATCAGCTCTTGGCGAGTGATATATTGAAAAGGTATACTGCAATGCGACTGTACAACGTTAAACGCGATAATAAGGAAATTTATTAGGAAATTTCAGATTATTATCAAAGGTCAACAGCTTAAAAACAAGTAAAAAAGAAAGTACCGCACATTGTTTTATCACCCGTAAGTACCTCAAGTCTTCCAATTATTCAAACTTTTCGACGACTTCTTTATTATTTCGAAGTTACTAGTTAATGTTTCCTATGTGTAATTTGATTAGTATTTTAAAAATACTATCGCCCGATTCATTCTGCCGAAAACATTTCCCAGATACTTGTTTAAAACTTGTTGCTGTGTTCAAGGAAAGCAGACAGCCTAAGACTGAAATGATCAGGCGGTTGAAAATCCCGTACGAATGAAATTCCTTTTAAATTTCCGTTGTCTTCGCGGGTACACCAAGGTCATAGCAAAACGTGCGATAATTGGAGTAGCTATGATCTAGACGTGTATTCTCCGTCTACGGGCAGGGAGACGGAGCGAAGGCCTCGAGTGAATGATTAATACAGTTCCGAGGCGAGCGAAACAGCTCATGCGAACTCGAGCAATTAACAATTGGCTAATTGTATGGTTAACGAACGGTACAAGGCATCCTCGTCGAATAATTTAGTCACAATGCATAATTGTACGCCGCAAATGGGCCGCTCTTCCTCCCGGGAGATTTTTCTACGCGACCGTTGCGGATACGATTGTCTGTAGCAGAAAAAATGTACGGTTAGGGGTCGGGTCCTGCCGGCGAGGATCTGCCGCCGAACCTGCGTTTCTCTCACGCGTTTCTTACCTAATGAATTCGTCCTTAAGCGCACCACGGAAGCGGAGTGAGAGGAAACGATAGCAACCTTGCGCTGAATGTTACGAGACGCTTGCGCCCGATGATCAAACGATATCGTTCTTGCCTAGTCCTTATTCTGGGAAGTAACTTTGGAATTAGCTGGAATTGAGTCGAAGATTTTCGTCGCACGAACAAGTGGAATAAACTCGTTTTAAAATTACTAGTTTTTGTTATGTTGCTAATTGTAGTAAGCAATAGATTGGTTACAGTGGTAATCGATTAATTGGTAGTTTAGAAGAATTATATTTATCATGAGCTCTTTTTCTGTAGTGAATCGTTGTAGAAGTATTAAAGGCGTTGAATCAGGATACATATTCTGTGTTATAACATTAATCGAGTGTTAATTAACGGTGAACTAAGATATATGTTGGAAATACGCATGAATGACGCGTATGCTTCATATATTTAGATAAATTTTAATTATAGAAGGTATTCGATGATTATTAGAATTATCGCTCTTTCAATCAGATGCGTATCTTTTGTATTGATTAGTGTATGAACTATTTGATTAAGTTGGAGCATCATCAGTTGGTCTTTCAAGGTCATGGAAAGCCTGTTGTCGCTGTGATATTTATTCAGTTAATCCCACAGTATGATATCTTATCTTATCAATGAAAAATCTGAAATTATAAATTTTGTTTCTTTTTCTTTTTGGCGTGACACTTGTTAGAGAGCATTTCACAGATAGCTACGTAAGCGATTCAGACATGATAAGCAATATCGTAAACACAACCTTAATGTTGAAAACATTGTCCATTGGCGTTCGTCGAATAAATATGCTTTAATTTATACTGGATAATAAAATTGCAGAATTGTTGCGTTTTCAGTAATAGATAACCCGTATTTGTGTACTTGTAAAAGTTATTTATCGTTTCTTTGTATCTAATAACGAATGAAGAAATATGTTTATCACGAACGGACAATGAACCATGATATTATTTGTGAATGTAGTTAAGCAAATTATTTTAACGATGTCGAATAACAAGCAAATTATTTTTATAATAATCGTATCTTCGTTAGTCACAAGGTGTTCACTCTCCTCTTTAATATTAATTAAATTACTACAGAATTACTAGCCATGCAAATTTTCATGTGAATTTTAACAGTTCACGATTGCCAGAATAATATTTTCGTTTATGACCTGTCTTTTACGATTTAAATAACGCAATGTGAATGCAAAATTAGGCAAATAATTTTGAAATGAAATATTCGAAAGTGCTTTTTAATTCGATTTTCTATTCGCTGTGGGTTTCGATCAAAGAATCAACGAGAAAGCAACATCTGAAACGTGACACAAAAGTTTGTTTTCCTTTCTTTTAAACGAACAACGCGCGTTGTTATCTATCAAAGTTACACCCTAATTACTACTTTATCTGGCCGCTTAATTCCTTGAGCGGCTTTATCTACATCTCGTTGGAAAGCATTCAAATTTTATGATTCACATAAATTCTGATACACCCCGACAGATCAACGTTAAGGGCCGTTGTTTGTTGTTCTCTGCGAGGGCATCGACTATTTCTGCTTTGTTCGGTATTTTAATTAGCAATTGAGCGTCTCGGTGAAACGCAGCGACCCGTCTATAGTTAGTCTCATTAAATTCGTTACGACACGCTCGCTTCCCACTCTTGCCTCGCTATTTAAAAACGCGTTATTCAGCAGCCGTAATTTTTTTGAAATTTCTAGAGAGGAATTCCGCGGGCCTTCGAGCGACTCGAAGGATATCGGTGGCGAGATTTATCGAGTGTAGAGAGATCGATTTCTCCGTAGCGAAATTGTACAACTTCGACCGGCCGCGTGTACGCTCCGGCGAATAGTTGCACGTACTTCCGATAAACGTTTTCTTTTTACTTCAGTTTAATAATCAACTTGAACATTTCCTTGGTCGAGTAGCTTCTGTTACTACGGGCCCAAACAAACAGTTACATTACTTGGTACTTACTCAATTATTGTAGAAATTGTAATTAATGGATTCACAGTCGCTAATATAATATTGCAATTAATATTTTTCTCGTTTAGAAAGCTGATCTTCCGAAAAGTTTCTTTTGACCTAAAATAATAAGCGAGCAGAAACATGATACTTCAAAGCAAATTTTGTAAGTTTCATGTGTCGCGCAAAGCTGTTTAAATGCTTTGTGGAAAATTGTTATTATTTTGTACGGTTATAACTTTATGAAAGATAATCGTACCACAATTTATCTAGATTCATTTTAAAATGTAAAGCTTCTATTTTTATCGCCTTGAGTTCGTTTTTTATAAAAATGACTTTATATCATATGGCAAATGGAAAAGTATACTTTCCTTTTTGTAAATTGTGAAAATTCAAATGATTCTAAAATGGTTAATTATTTTTTGGGTAACTAAATTCACCATGGTCATGGTTGAGTTTTCCTATCTGTGCTCTTGTTACTGTATATGTATATTACGAGATATTATATGTAATCTTATACACACCATTTGAACGGTGTGTAATAATTGATTTCGTTTTATTTGTTTCAGAGGAGAACATACTTGGAGGATGGACAATCAATTTAAAATATAGGTAATTTTCCAAACATAATACAATTTTTTCATTTGTGTAGTGTTTACACTATAGCATGATAAAATGATGTAAATTTATACTATGAAAAAGAATTTAAATTATCTTGGTACCTTTTCCCACGAAGTGTTGTGTTCACTCCTAAAAATTACAGAAATTAAAATTATAAATATGAAAATATTTGAATCTAGCTGTGAGAAAACTACGAAGCAGGTATTTAATGTAAAAAATCAATACACGGATTTCATTCTTATTGTTTATTAGTAGCGTATGTAGTAGTATTTTAATTTAAATATTCCCATACTTTTTCGAGGCATATTTATAATTCCACTATGTTATTAAATTGTTTTTTTTATAATATAGTTTTCGAACTAATCTAAAACAATTTTCTATAATATATAAGTTCAAGAATTTTTCTGGTCACGGTTAAAATTGACTTTGTCGGTTTTGAAATTATTTTCTTTTTTCTATTTCTATGGTGTACACAATTGCGTTGTTAGACTGAATGATGAACTTTTTCTACGCTATTTGATAATCGTTCTTTGGCGATATCTGCGTATATACGATTCATTGTTCTAGGATTCAACTTTATATTTATCTTTCTGTGGTACTCTATTACCGACCATAACATAACTCCATTCACTTGCCGCCTTTGCAGTATGACTTCATCTTTCCGGAAATCATGAAAGTAATAGTTTGTCATAGAGCCCACCCGAATTGATACGCGCCTTATTAGGAAAAACTGTCTTTTTCCATTTTTTCAACGCACATTTTTTAATCGTTAGTTAAGAACTCTAATGTCTATGGCAGATGGTTAGAAGCAGTTTTTCGATCATTTCACATTTTCTTAAATTGTTAAGAATTATATATATTAATATATATATTATATATATATATATATATATATATATATATATATATATATATATATATATATATATATATAT